CAGGGGGTGCAGTCCATGCGCCTGGTGGTGCCCCAGTAGCACCGGGGGAAGCAGTCCATTCGGGTGAGGGTGCGGGTGTGGCACCGGGGGAAGCAGTCCATGGGGCCGCGGGTGCCCAAGTGGCACCGGGGGATGCGGTCCACTCGCGTTGGGGAGCGGGGGTGGCACCGGGGGAAGCAGTCCATTCGCGTGTGACCGCGGGAACCATGGTGGCACCGGGGGATGCGGTCCATTCGAGTTGTGGAGCGGCGGTGGCACCGGGGGGAGCAGTCCATTCACGCTGGGGAGCGGGAGTAGCACCGGGGGAAGCAGTCCACGGGGCGGCGGGTGCCCAGGTGGCACCGGGGGATGCGGTCCATTCACGTTGGGGAGCGGGAGTAGCACCGGGGGATGCAGTCCACGGGGCGGCGGGGGCCCATGTGGCACCGGGGGACGCCGTCCAAGGAGCTACAGGTGCGGCGGTGGCACCGGGGGATGCAGTCCACGGGGCAGCGGGTGCCACCGTTTGCACTTCGGTGGGGGGAGGGGTCCATTCGCGCTGTGGAGCGGCGGTGGCACCGGGGGATGCAGTCCATTCGCGTTGGGGAGCGGCGGTGGCACCGGGGGATGCAGTCCATTCGCGTTGGGGAGCGGCGGTGGCACCGGGGGAAGCAGTCCACGGGGCGGCGGGGGCCCATGTGGCACCGGGAGATGCAGTCCATTCGCGTTGGGGAGCGGCAGTAGCACCGGGGGAAGCGGTCCACGGGGCAGCGGGTGCCACCGTTTGTATTTCGGTGGGGGGAGGGGTCCACTCGCGTTGCGGTGCGGGGGTGGCTCCTGATATACCCAACATGTTCGAAAGGCAAAACGTCGAGTGATGGCGGGGGGATAAATAAAATCAACCAGCTTGCCTGTCTCGGCTATCCACTAGCAGCGGGGCAAAGAGGAGTTTTCCAATATGTTTGGCTTAACTCTAACGATCGTGTATTGAAAGCACGCCGTATGTCGCATCGTACACAGCAGGCAATACCGCAGCAACGAACAGCGTTGTCCATCCAACCTTTACTATAATCTTTGTCTTGGTGCTTTGCTGTGGCGCAGGACCAGAACACATCTGGCGGTAATCAGACAGGAGGTGAGCTTACTGCCTCACCCCGCTTACTCGCGTCGTTCGAGTGTTCGGCTATCGCGCGGTGGTTCCCGGAAAAACCTTTCGTTGGCCGGTCGTCGCTCGCATCGGAACCGCCACAGCTGCGCTCTGATCATACCTGGGGAAGCCGTCCAGGGGGCTGCTGGTGCAAAGGTGGCACCGGGAGATGCAGTCCATTCGCGTTGTGGAGCGGGGGTGGCACCGGGGGATGCGGTCCATTCGCGTTGGGGAGCAGGGGTGGCACCAGGGGATGCGGTCCAAGGAGCTACGGGTGCGGCAGTGGCACCGGGGGAAGCGGTCCATTCGCGTTGGGGAGCAGCAGTGGCACCGGGGGATGCGGTCCATTCACGTTGGGGGGCGGGGGTAGCACCGGGGGATGCGGTCCAAGGAGCTACTGGGGCAGGAGTGGCATCGGGCGAAGCAGTCCAAACGCGTTGCGGAGCGGGGGTGGCTCCAGGGGATTCTGTCCATGGATCCGCCGGAGCCCACGTTTGCTTGACGGTGGGCGCTAAAGTGGGATCTACAGTTGGGAGGAGCGTGGCTGTTCCCGTAGGAGGTTCGGTCTCTGGTTGAGCAACTGGATCAGCCGTAACGGGGGTGTCGGTAACGGGGGTGGGAGTTTCTCCCGTGGCCGTCCTTCCGGTCTCTCCGGTGACAGGAGCATCGGTTCGTTCGCTGGCAACGGGGGCGGGAGTTTTGGCCGAGGCCGGCGTTTCGGTGGCGTCGATGATAGGGGCATCGATTATGCTGGCAACGGGGGCGGGAGTTTCGACCGAGGCCGGATTTTCGGTGGCGTCGATGACAGGGGCATCGGTTCGTTCGCTGGCAACGGGGGCGGGAGTTTCGGCCGAGGCCGGCGTTTCGGTGGCGTCGATGATAGGGGCATCGATTATGCTGGCAACGGGGGCGGGAGTTTCGACCGAGGCCGGATTTTCGGTGGCGTCGATGACAGGGGCATCGGTTCGTTCGCTGGCAACGGGGGCGGGAGCTTCGGCCGAGGCCGGATTTTCGGTGGCGTCGATGACAGGGGCATCGGTTCGTTCGCTGGCAACGGGGGCGGGAGTTTCGGCCGAGGCCGGATTTTCGGTGGCGTCGATGATAGGGGCATCGGTTATGATGGCAACGGGGGCGGGAGTTTCGGCCGAGGCCGGATTTTCGGTGGCGTCGATGACAGGGGCATCGGTTAGTTCGTCGGCAACGGGGATGGGAGTTTCTGCCACAGCCGGCGGTTCGGTGACAAGCGGGGCCAAGGAGGATTCGGTCGAGGGTAAGGTTGTTAGGGAAACGAGGGGCACGCTAATTTTGAGGGATTGAACGAGGGGGGAGGGGGGGGTGGTTTGTTTCTTTCGTTCGGCAGCGGTGGGTCGTGGATTTTCGACTATGATTGCGTCCTCAGAGGGCGGCGTCTTTTCGGCCACGCCTGAAATTAGATGTGAAAAAAATGGCAAAAAATAGTACCCTTGTCGACCGTCGTTGTCTTGTGGGCGTTGCCGGCGGAATATGGTAGGGGAGACAAAACGGACGACAGAATAACGACCATAGATCGCAAACACTACTGAGAAGGGGCGAAGACAGCACGAGCACCAGCATCGGCGCCAGACTCTTCTTGAAAGCCAGCCAGACAACCCCGCCCGGTCGGTGCATTCGACGGTGCGTGTAGTACATAGGACCGATAACGGCCGCCACAAGAAACGAAACAAAAAAAACTCGAGAGAACCCCGCCGGGACTGTTCCTGGGCAGCAACTGCTCGCCAGGTTCACGTTCAGCTGAAGACCTGCAGAAGACGATTGGTTGAAAGTAAATACAATATGTATAAAGGAGGCGTGAATCGCGATTTTCCAAAGACCAAAAGGCTACTGGATCAGAAGCCTCCCGATACATCGTTGCGTGGCACCCCAACATCGCAGCAGCGCAATTCCCGACGCTACACCGCAACCGCCGACAACACATCGCAACACACCTGGCGACTCGGTCCAAGGGTCCGCGGGGGCGTACGTCCATCGCACCGTCGGCTCCGGCGTGGCCGGCTCCGTGGGCTCCGGGGTTTCCGCTTCGGTTGGCGCAGGCGTCTCTTGCTTGTCTATGTCCTCCTGCGTTCATTTCGAGGGGCAATGACAGAGGGTGGTGGGGAAAAACAGCGCGGAAATGAACAATGAAAAAGTAAGGACGAGGAAGTTTTTTCTTGAGAAAAAAAATATTCACAGTCAAAGAAGGACCACCCGTTCGAGGTAAATTCTTTGTTGACGCTTGCAGCGTCGGGTAATAAAGAGAAAGAGGAAACAGAACAGCTTTCGGCGGTTGTTCAACCCCTTCGCCGTTTCCGGGCGAACCGGGGCGTGTGGCAAAGTTGAAAGCAAGAAGAACAAAACCGGAGGCGCCCGTCGCAGATAGCTCAACCGACTCCGAATCAATTCAGCTCCGTTACGGCGTGGCAACGCATGTAGAGCGTCCATGTCCTACTGCTTTGGTGACACGCTGATCGTCATTTCCATCCATACAGCCGTGGGAAAAGTGGGACGTCGAGTTCGAGGGAGAAAAATGTGGCAGTGGCAGCAGCGGTCGAGACTTGGGCAAACGTAACCACCCAAAAGAGAGACAAACAAACAGACCGGACCCGACCTGCTCAGATCGTGTTGGTTGGGGCTGGCTGACCAAGCTGGGCGATTCATGAAAAGAAGAATAGTACGACGTTCTTTCTTGGCGCTTGTGCGGCCCCAGCGAACGAGCAACTGCGACTCGTGAAAAAATTAGTGACCAGCATATCCAACAAATAAATAAATTGCGTTGTCGTACGAACACACGCAAGGAGTCCCTTTCCCGACCCTCGCCCAACCACATGTACGACAGCAGGTAGACAGCCACAAAAAAAAAAATGACGGTCAACCAAGGCTTCATGAACGTTTTGCCGGGAGATTCTCACTCGCCAGAGTCCGTGGCGGACGGAAGGGAGTAAGTAGCTTTAAACGCCAACCGAACGATCGAGAGTACACTGCACACGTACACACATGCGCGCGGGCGCGGGCGATCGTATCGTCGTGAACGTATGTCGCAAGCTATATTACTACTGTTCGTCCCGAAGCACCGGCGTTTAGTGTCAACGGATGGACGGCTATCGCAAGAAACTAAATATTGCCTCTCAAGTGCAGTGCGTATGGGCCATCGACCACACTTACCACTGGGGACGGCGTTTCCTCCGCCTCTTCCTCCCCCGGAGTCGGCTGCGGCGTCTCCTCAACTTCTTCCACCGGGGACGGCGTTTCCTCCGCCGGAGTCGGCTGCGGTGTCTCCTCGACTTCTTCCACCGGGGACGGCGTTTCCTCCGCCGGAGTCGGCTGCGGTGTCTCCTCGACTTCTTCCACCGGGGACGGCGTTTCCTCCGCCTCTTCCTCCGCCGGAGTCGGCTGCGGTGTCTCCTCAAGTTCTTCCACCGGGGACGGCGTTTCCTCTACCGGCGAGGGCGTTTCGTCCTCCTCCTCCTCTGGAGTCGGCTGCAGCGTCTCTTCAACTTCTTCAACCGGCGCGGGCGTTGCCTCGACTTCCTCAACCGGGGACGGTGTTTCCTCTACCGGCGTAGGCGTTTCCTCCGCCTCTTCCTCCCCCGGAGTCGGCTGCGGCGTCTCTTCGATGTCCTCTACAGGGGATGGCGTCTTCTCCTCCTCCTCCTCCTCCTGTTTTTCCCGGAATCGTGTTTAGGACAACAGCAAGGTAGGTGTGTCGAAAACGGCAGCGGATCGCGGGGAAGATTTTTGTTATTCATCAAACAATCAAAGAGTGCAAAATCTACAAGTATGCGTCGAGCGCTTCACCCTTTCTTCAGGACTGTTGTATGCTACAGCCAATACATACGAAGTGGGGGTCAAAACGCGTGTTGGGGGGGGGGGGAGGTGCGAATAAGCACGACTGATGGAACAAAGCGTTCTCATGAGAGTTTTATCGCACAGTACATTTCTCGATCGTCGTCGAGAAGTTGAACCTGACGGGTGATGCTCTCGAACAATCACCGGCGGTTGCTTAGCTTACTACGTGCCATCACCATCTTAAGATAAATCGTTCGAGTGTGCGTTATCGTGCACGGAATTCGCGAATATTTGCTACAGCGAGAGCAGAGGGAGACGACACAGCAGTCAAAATAGGGGCTGGTGGGCAAAACAATCACACCAGTCAACGGTTGTTTGATAGGTCATACTTGGGATCGTTTTCTTGGGTTTTTTCGGACTTGCAGAGGCGGAGATGGACCGTTCATCACACGGCGGGCGTGTGTACCGAGACGTTGGTAACGTGTGTGTGGAGCAATCATTCCAGTAACACGAAGTACACTTTGCCGCGGGCGTGTGTGTACCGAACGTTGTCGTGTGTGTATCTTTCTTAATAGCATCCACCGCGCTGCTAACCGGCTGACCTTTGAAAATACGTCAGTCTCAAGGCGGTGGAAAACACAAAATGCTTCTATAGGCCATGATCTCGGACCCTGTCACCGAGTGTCATCGGGGAGGCAACGTTATTTCTCCGGATGAAAGACTATTGTAGTGTATGTGTGTGGAGTGGAGCAATATACGGCAACAAAAACGAAACAACATTTGAATCATGCCGCCTCGGCTTCACTCAACGTTTGTTTTTTGTACGGGCTTCTTCATGATTTTGTCTGCCCCCCATGGAAGCTCGGATGTTCCGGCGGAACCAAAAAATGTTGGCAAGCTGTGCACACCCGATATTGACCTGCCGCCAGCATCTAGCGCCTCCTCGTCCATACGACGACCAAAACCGCGGTGGTTTCTTGAAGACAAGACACCAAATATCGAGACCGTCTACTTCATTCAATATCCCGTCGAGACAAGAGGAAAACGACCGCACAAACAAGAAGAATGCATGTGGTCTATATTTTACCACAATACAGTAGTGCTGTCTTGTCATGTTTCGCCGTCGTCCGTGGGGTGTGTGCCGCGCATAACATGATGTGGTAGTGTGATGAGTTGTGAGATCCCTTCGGGCGTGGAAGCACGTTGTACGCGGAGAGGCTTACAGGGACACTAACATCGAAAACTCTGTTCTTAAATAGGATGTTGCGCGCCTGATTGCACAAGAACATGACCGTGTCCCGATTACGAATTTGGGGCGCGGTACAGCAGCAGCACTTCTATGCACATCAAGGCAACGAAATGTATGTACAATTCTGCGCTACTCCGGCTGGTGCGCCCAATAAGCTGCACGTCCGCGTCTCGTTGGTAACAAATTGGATTGGTGAGATTCCGCAGCAGCAGCAGTGACATACGATTTTGCGAACATCACGGCTGGAGCAGTGTTCTGTAAGCATCCAGTAGACTATTCTCGGTCATCACATGTGGTTCATTCACTTGCCGGGGAGTTGAAGTGGCGCTCATCATGCCAGTGCATGCATGCGTGAGCGAGCGCCTGTCTGTGTGAGCTGCCCTTGTTCCTCTCTCACGCAAATAATACGAGAACTCGAAGAAAAATAAACTTGAATAGGATAGATAGGTCGTGGCGCAACACGAACGCCTCCTGCCCAGCCAGTGCATTCGATACACACAGTAAGATTGACAACAAAATGCGTACATCACATACCGGTAATACTTAGTTTTGATTAATGGTGACACATGTACTGCTGCATGTTGGCGCGCCTGCATGGAGACTGCGGCAGCAAATACCCAAAGCGTGCCTACCGCTGTCGGAAGCGGAAGATGGCGGGCTGCTGCCTGGCTGCCTCTCTCTCAGCTACATACCATCCAAGTAAGTTCACCCGCTCCGCGCGAACATCTTGTTTCCCGAGAGAGAATGCGCCAAATGCTAATTGGCTCTAAATCGTACCACCCGTTCCCGTTCCCATTTTTGTTCCCTTCGTCAAGCACAACTCCGGGGGTCGCTTTGGGGCGGGGGGAGGTATGCATACATAGCAGGGGAGAAAGATAGAAGGAGCGACAGAGGTCTCTATTCCCTTCCTGGTAACTGATTTCAGGCAACCTCGGATCCTCTCGGGCGCATATAGACTTGTGTATAGACTATCGGATTTCTTCTGTGCCCATTTTGAGAGTTGATTGCCACGGTCATCACGAGCAGTCTATATGGGCTGCCGTATGCATACAATCCGTTATTGCTTGCACCCATCCCTGACCCAGTAGTACTGCTGTGTACTTGAAGCAGATCCAAGGACCGTGCGCGTGTTCGCGCGGAACCGGGTGTTCATTGCGCGAGTGAAAAGGAGCCCACCCGTGGAAATCAATCTCAAGACTACGCGTAAATTTATCTACCATATGCATTTGTTTGGCTCGCCAACTTCCCCGAAAAGGATTATGTAGAGACAAGACGCAGGAGAGGGGATCGTGAGCGAGCGTGGCCCTATGTAGAATACACCGATCAACGAAATGAATGATGCAACGTCCGTCCGATCACGAAGAGAGGCTGACGTGCATGCCCAGCAAGCCCGTATCTCTCACTCACCACCGGGGCTGGAGTCTCGGGTGCGTCCTCCTCCTCTGTGGAAGGTGCGGGTGTATCGACAGACTCATCTTCCACAGGCGCCGGGGTATCTTCCTCCTCCTCGACCGGACTCGGGGTGGGCTCGTCCTCTTCCTCTTCCTCCTCCTCAACAGGGCTCGGAGTATCATCTGAAGGGGGGTCATCGGAAGGGTCTATCTCCGCGACGGCAGGCGTTGGCTTCGGGGCTGGGTCCGAGCTGCTGCTGGTGTCCTCGACGTCGTCGCCGGCCGAAGTGAGAGATGAGTCTTGACTGTTTGCAGGGCTGACAACATTGCTGGCGGCCAGCGTCGCGATCAAAAGAGCGCAGCGCCATCTCAGCAACCGCATCGCTCTTCTTCGATCCCGCCGACTGCTCTCCTCCTCGCAGTGAGACCGCTATATCACTTCGACGGTGCTGTAGATATAGTTTATTGTAGATCAAGGTCCCCAACCAAACCGGCGGGGGCGGGGTGTGTGTGTGTTTGTTTGTTGATGTTGTCGGCGCGGCGGTTTGTTTATATCATGCTGGGTGATGATGTTCCGTTCCCGACAGTCTGGTTTGATGTGACAACTTGACAACTGAGAACAACGATAAAGATCTTTACTCTTTCGAAGGTTCGAGTTTAGCGGATGAACTTTCTCGGAAAAATCTGCCACTCGGAATAGTTTTCAATGTATTTTTCATCCGGCGACCGGCGGACTGCTTGGCTGGCCTGCAGGTACCGCCGCAGTACCGCCCCAACCAAGTAGTATTGCGTGCCGAAAGTAGTGTGCGGGTTGTTGGCGAAGCAGCCCGTAACTCTCTCGTGGACGCTGGCACCACAACAGAGGAAACCATGAAGAACGTTGTGCAGTGAACCAGTGAACACAGAATAGAGTAACCCCGGCCGAACACAAGGACCCATCCATGTGAGAATTCTTTGCAGATGACCCGAGAGTGTTTGTAACGCACTACATGATGCATGTAGCACATGTGTACATACACAACCAAGCACGCCAGCTTTCCAAACAACAAGAAGAAGAGCATCGATTGGTGGCGTCTGACATTCCGAGTTGAGTTTATTTACACAGCCCGAGAAACAAGAAAAGACACATCGACACAGGAAGGAAAATTGCTGTACTGCGGTACACTGCTGTCGTCGCACACAGCACAAATCAGTTTATCTCCGGTTTGACTCTACTTTCTCTTACGAAAAATACCAGATACAGGTGACTCCGGCACGCAGCGAAGTCCGAAGTCTCACCAGAATCGTTTGGTCTCTAAGAAGATCCGAAACCAACAAACCAATAACAACAAGCTGTGTGCGGACAACCCAGCTCGCACACAGCCCACTGATTGCTTTTTTTGTGTATTATAATATGTGTGTTTCATGGCCCACTTCCATGCGGAGTTCCTACTTACGCTCTGCACAAAGTTTGTCCGAGGCTTCGCTTGAAGCACAGCGTCTATACACTCCTCATCGTCCATCTACAACCTATTCATACAACCGCCGACACGAACAGAACAAAACAGGGTGCCACACACAAACGCCCGACTAAAAGGATTTTTGGCCGGCCACACCAACAGTACGCAACACCTTTCTGCTATACACCTTCCAAATACAACATATATGAGACACACAAGACAGCTACCAAACTGTTTTGTTGAGCCTGTTACCCGCAGGGGAGATGTCCCTATATATGCTGTCTGGGAAATCGTAGACATACAGGTAGCTTTTTCTGACGCCATGAATTCATTGCTAATCTGTCTCTGACTCTTTTGGATTCGTTGTGTCATATTAAGACACAAAAAAAAAGAAAGAACAGAAGACAGAGATCAGAAACAGTCGTGCTCGGTGCTGCAGGCGTGTACTTTCGCGCGAAAAAGGAGGGGGTACGTACGTATCGCCTCATCTTGGTTGATTCCCCGGATCCCCTGGGGTGGCCGCCAGCATTTTTGTGTCATGTGCTGTGCCGCCGTGCGCGTCGACAGTCAGCCAGCACACAGTCGACAAGTCACTCGCTGCTTCTGTCTCGCCCTCCTCCTCCTGCTGTGTCACCTGTCGCACATCCGAGGAGAAGATGCCGACCGTGATGGTAGCAGATATCGGGGGGACGTCGTCCAGGTTCATCTTGTACGAGGCCTTGGCAAAGGTGGAGCTCGTTGTGGGACAAAAGTGAGTATTGGCTTGTACTACTCTGCTGTACACATGATAGCGGGCGGGTGGATTTGCAACCGGAAGTTGCCTGTATCCAACATCAGCTGCCCTGTAAACACAACGTGTGCATCTACCTCTCGGTGGGTTAATCTTTGCCAACATTGCTCAACAGGTCGAGGCCGTGTATTTCGTCCTACCGTCGTCCATGGTCGATGAGGCTGTCCGTGACGATTGGCGTGGCAATGGTTCCCCTCTTTCATTCATCACGCGTTTCTCACCGCACCATCAGTTCCCGTGGCAGCTGCCGTGGCACACGGCGTGTTTAGCACTGGTGCTGTCTTGCCACAGCATGATGTGATCGTGTTGGTTGTACAGCAACCGAAGCGCACACGTGATGCAAAATAAGCTGTCCACCTCGGTGTTGACCGCTGCAGTTGTTCGATCAACATGTCACAGAAGCAACAAACATGTGTAGACGCGGGAGGTTTACACCCTGTGGGTATCTGTGTTGCCTCCTGCGTGCCCCGCAAATCTGTACATAGCTCGACCCTGGCCCTTAGGCTGTGTCCGCGCCGCGTTCCTTGCTTGTGTTTCATGCTCGACTGCCATCAGGGCTCCTGGTGCTCTCGTGTTCCAGAAAACGTACCCGAACGAGAACGTGGCGACCTTCTACTCCCAGGTGTCGGCATTCTTGGAGGTGAGTGTTTCGTGTGTCCACCGTTCCAGACAGCAGCGGTACACTGCTGCTGTAGTCTACTGCATGCATGTACCTGCCCGGAGCATCGAGACCGTGTGGTTTCAGTTGGCGAAGCGGGTGCGGTTCGTACGTGTTATCGTCTCTCAGCATTTTCAGGCGCAGCGGGTGGGTCGCAAATCGATCGTCGTTTTTATGTTGCAGTCAGTCGAACATAGGGGCACTCTACAGTCTACATACACAATTGCCGACGGCATGTGGAACGCCGGTTGGTTATGGTTCGCACTCATTTGGCCTTCCTTGCTCTGCCTGTGTTATGTGCCAACTGCTGCTGCCTGCTTTGGTGTGCACGTGTGTGAAGCCGGTAGTTGTATGCATACGCGAAACAAACAATTTGCTTTGCATATGAGTAGACCATAGAAACTGGTGGGTAAACCGGGTAGGCCGAAGCTTGTAGGTTTGTGGAGAAAGGCAGCTCGGCCAGTGAGGGCCGAGATGGGAAAGTCTTGTATTAGAGGGAAGAGGGAACAGCAGAGAGCACTCGTGTCCTAGGAACCGAGGGGAGCGTCACCACACCTATCGTGACGCAATTCAGATCACTCATCGAATCTCCGAAGAAACCAAGTAGAAACCCCCTGTTCCTCCGCAATATACCAACTGATCTCCGTAGATCCATGTCCCCTATTCAACCATCTTTACTATGCTACGAGTATATCTAACAGACATGTTGTTGTTGTTGTTGTTGTTGTTGTTGTTGTTGTCTTCACATTAAAAACCGTTCCGTCCTCTCTGCCTAGTACCTTCTTCTGTCCCTTGTAGTCTAGCACTTGACGCGGTCGATTCCCGTGGTCACAGGCTAACTTACCCAAAAAAAGGTATACGAAAATAAAATGGACCCGAAGGGTCCGCAAGCCACTAGAAGTCACCGACAGATATGATGATTAGATATTTTATGTTTGACAACCTGCGTGCCGACCAGTTGGCGGTACAGCAGTGTACGCGCAACACAATGTAATACTCACAGCGCACCCGGGAGGTAGCGGTCAGTGAGAGTCTTTTCTCTCTCGACACTTGCGGTAGTCTTTTTTCTCTCTAGACTTACGTACCAGTAGCGCATAACTTCCCATTGCTGCTTCTTTCTCCTCGAATGGATGCCTCGGGTCTGAAAGCCATGAAATGGAGTGTTCGTGTTGTCCTCCCCAAAGGAAGAAAACTTTACACACAACTCTCTCATGCTTGAACTCTCAGAGTGCTTATACTACGAGCAGTACCGGCAGCAGCGTCAACACGTTCCACGAGCAAGAATCGAGCAAGCATCGACAACGCTAAAGCCAGCCAACCAATGAAATATTTCAGTGTTGAATAGATGCCGGTCTGTTGGCAGGAAGCACAAGCCGGGGCCACCCGGGAGCAAAGCCACACACGGGAATTGTCGTTGTTTCTCCTCTCTGTTCTGCAGGTTCTTGCCTGCAATCCTGTCGCGGGTTCAGCAGTTACATTTACTCTTCCCTGACCTTTGAAAGTCTGACTGCGCCGAGATTCAAGCTCAAGTCCATGTTCAGGAGGTTGCGGGATGCCAACTGCTGTGTTGCTTGGGCGTGAACTATTTGGTCGATTAATTTCTGCTGTAGTCCCCTCATTTTGTTGTTCTCAGCGTTGATGTACGTGCGCTATAATTTGTGTTGAGAATGAAACCTTTCACAGTTTTTCCCATTGGCCTGGATTCCAAAGATAGTGTTTATCGTGTGGTAGCAGCTGGCTGTGTATCTATGTAGCCTCATTTCTGCACAACCAGTCAACCTGACCGGCGTCAATGTAGCTCTCGACGTAAATGATTCCGACGCACCCCGCTTTTGTGGTCTAGGGCAGGCGGGCCTGGTCGTTAAACGCCAACTTGTCATGTACGTTTCGAGAGAGAGGATGTAGTGATATTATCCCACAACAAGTCTCTTCTCTTCCTGCCAGGGAAGAATATTACTGAAAACAATATGTCGTCGAACGGTGCCGTATGTGGTTGTTCTTGCCGTGTTGTATCGTTTAGCACCCTTGTTTCATCACGGCGGAAAGGTGTTTGGGGGGGGGGGGGGGCACAGGGGTGGTACTCTTTTGTCATGGGCGCGGCGGTCATTGGCACCGGTTGTCCTGCACATACCACCAGTCCCTTAAAACCCCAACGAGTGCTGATACCTCCTTGTGGGCCAATCGGGACCATAACCGGTTTAAAACAAGGGTGGGTACTCATCGATTTTTCACGGAGCATCCTTCGTTTCTTTGGCCTTGTCGTTTGGTCCCACGGGGGGGGGTCGCGAAATCGCAGGATGCTGAGGTGGTCGAACCTCCGGAGACGGCCTGCATCGCGGTGGCTGGCCCCGTAAGTGACAACAGGGTTGTCATGACCAACCGCGCCTGGGTGATCGACGGGGCGGAGGTGAGCTAGTTCCGAGCAAAAGCAGTTGTCGGAACGAGGAAAAGTGTGTGTGGTTACCAGAAACAACGATGAGGGATGTCGGGCATTCTTTTACGATGAACGCTCATTATCAGAAACAGCGAGAAGAGTGTTCGAACACTCTTTTATTTCCGTGCTCATTGCAGTACTGTAACAGTGTTCCGAACCTTGTTTACAGCAGTGAGGCTCTTTTTTGCGCTCGGCTTGCTGCTTGTGCTGCTGCTACTGCTGCTGCTGCTGCTGCTGATGATGATGATGATGATGCTGATGCTTCTGCTGCCACTGCTGCTGTTGATGCTGGTGCTGCTGCGGCCTCTGTTGCCCAGATCGAGGAAATGTTCAACATCACGTCGGTGAGGCTGGTGAACGACTTCGTTGCCGCCGGGTACGGGCTGCTGACGCTCGACATCGACGCGGAATGCGCCATGCTGCAGGTGAGAAGATATCGACGACATGGTACCCCACAGCGACGGCAGCGGCAGCACCGCACACCTTCAAAACACAGACATTGAACGATGAGGACAACATCGGGCCACAGTTTTTGTAGTTAAATCCCTAGGAACTTGAGCACGTGAGATTGCGCGTAAAAGGCAACAAAAGGTGGAAACCTTGGAAGCTGCCGATGAGGTAAATTGCGTTAAATGGAAAATGTTCACCCCTCGCCTAGTGGGCAAGTATTTGATGAAAAGGACGCTTGGCCGTGGATGGTTACTTCAAATAGGGGGATCCCCAAAGGGGGGCCCCCCCCCCCCCACGGAAAATATCTTCCCCCAATCAATCTGGTGATCGTCCATATGTGTCATTCCAGCATGTGTGAGCGACACCCTCTCCATATCGACGCTACTTGCACCCCCTCGTGCCCCCTTCCTATGGCGCCGGTCCCCCCCCCCCCCCCCCTGGTCCCCCCTCCCTGTGACGCTGGCCACCCCCACCCTGCGCCTGTTGACGTCGCTTTCGGAAGGCCGGCGATCGCAAGGAGGGCGCGCCGATCGGGTGCATCGGTTCCGGTACCGGTCTGGGGGAGACGTTCTTGACCTGCCCCGTTGGAGGTGAGAGAGCAAAAAAAATCAATCTCAAGGATAAGGAACAGGAAACAGTTTCATGAGGACAGCTACAACCAAGTCACGTGATGCGTCGAACAGTGTCTGTGCCAAACGGTGTTTACTTGTAGCACCAGCGGAGATGGGACGACAACACGCCCAAACGCATGTACACATGAGAAAACAGGTTCACAACGGCGGGATTTCGGTCGGGGTGGGTTGTACGCGACACGAACCTTCCCTCCCCCCCTCTGCCTGTAGTTATATGCATGTGGAGACATTTTTTTTTTTCCTTTTTCCGCAGGCGAGGTCTACGACGCGTGGCCGACGGAAGGCGGGCATTCGGAGATGGCGCCCAGGAATGACCTGGAGTACGACCTCATCAAGGTGAGCGTGAGCGTGAGCGTGAGAGGTGACACGTGACGACGAACGGGGGACAAAGCTGTTTTCTTTTCTCTGCAACGGTTGCGTTTTTGCGGCAGGCGGGGTGAGCTTTCCGCGTCCCCGGGTACCGTCTGGCCGCGGGTGCTTTCGGGTTTCAGTCGCTTACACTGACGGCAGGGGTGCTGCAGCAGCAGCAACGTTTTTTTTCCGGTGGGCACCCATCACATGGTTCGGTACCTGGCCGAAGAAAAGTGGTAGAGAGAGGAGGCCGAAGGTGTTGTGTCGGCATGTTTTGGGAGCTTGCATCGAAACATTGGACGGATGGACACGCTACACTCACCGGAATGCCAAGGCCTGCCGTGGTGGTGATGACGACTACCACCGGTAACATTGTGTCACGCCAGAGCTGCGCGACGTTGAACATACAATTTTGTCTCGAGTAAACGAAAAATTCATGGGTTAAAGAGTCTAGGAAAAATTTGGCAGTGGACATGGAAGAGCATTCTGTAGTGTTTTGCTGTGTGTGGGATGTTGTTGCCGCCGCCGTCGTCCCGCCGTGCCTAACGCTCTATCTCTCTCTCTTTGAAGTACGGATACAGTTCCTCCCTGGCCTTGCGACAGTGAAAACCAACATCGCAACACTGCTATGATATGTATGACCAACGATGACCGATCGCAGTACATCAAGAAGACGCACGAGACAAGCCGCGTGTCCGTGGAACGCGTGGCGAGCGGCACCGGGCTGGTGAACGTGTACAACTTCCTGGTGGAGACCTTCCCTGAGAGGGTCGACAAGGCCGTGCACGAGGGTGAGAGATAAAGTAGACCAGAAAGGGTACCTGGGGAAAGGAAGGCCGTGCACGACGGTGACAAGAAAAAAAGGTAGATCAGAAAGGGTACAAGGGGGTCGAAAGGCCGTGCACGAGGGTGAGAAAAAACAGGTACAGGTACGGGTGTATACCGGATTTTTTTTCTATTGAGTCACGCGAATGGTGACTTGCCGGGTTTTTGCTTTGTTCTCTTGTTTGTGTGGCTTGGTTTGTCTTTTTTCCACTTTGTTTCGTTTGATGCACGGCACATATCTCAACGTACCCTTTCCATACAGATGTGTCTTACCTTATCTGTGGTTTGTTTTCTGCATGCCTGCAGAGTTCCAAGCCGCGGGGGACCAGAAGGGGGCTGTCATCTCAAAGAATTCCACCGTGCCGGGATCCATCTGCGAGCAGGTGTGCCGCCCTTTCAGTGTTGTCGTGTTGCTGATGCTTGGCCCCGCTTGTGTGCTGATTTATCTTTTCAGCTTCCGTGTGGTGCGCATGGTCTATCGCGTTATCCTTGACCGCGTCGCCTCCCGGCAGCGATTCCGCCGCATCTGGGTGTTGCTGAAGCTCGAGTCGGCATCTAGGTGACTCGAAATTACGTTAAGACGACGCAACCCCTTTGCTACAAAAGATTCCAATTAGCGTCCTCCCAAATGCAACGGTAGACGTTGTAGTGGTTGCTCCACTAGCCACGAAGCGGTTTATTGGCAAGCACGGTTTGCAACGTCCAACACCTTCATGGCACGGCTGCTAGGGCGTTAACGTTTGGTTACTCGCCCAGAACATTCCAAACAAAATGGTAGTTGAGATTAACGTGACCGGTGAAAGTCGTAACATTCAAACAAAATGGTAGTTCAGAGTAACGCGACCGCTGAAAGTCGAGGAGGGGCCGAAGTGAACACTACCGTGGCCGTATGTTTGCTGGTCTTCGAGGTGCCCCTCCCGTGGTTGGCCGTCCTCACGAAACAGTCAAGTTTGATAGCACTGCTGTCTGCGTCCGCTCACGCCAGCCTAAGAGCAACCAAACTTGCAGGTAGCGGATTGGAGAGCTCTTTCCCAAACACACAGGCCGTGCCTTACATGACGTCTGGCCAATCGCACGAGCTTGACGATCTTCCTCTTGGCTCACGCCGGCTCGCCTTTGACTCCGCGGATCCGCGCCTTTTACAAAGACGGTAGCATACCTCGTTTTGCTTGTTTTCGTGGGTTTGCTTGCTCGCAGGTGATGGAGATCTGGGCGACACACTACGGCGCGGAGGCGGGAGTCATGGGGCTCCGCTGCATCCCTACGGGGGGGCTATTCATCGCCGGGGGAATGACGCACAAGAACTTGCGCATGCTTGAGGTAAGGGTCCTCTGTCTATATTTTTGTCTTTGCTCAACACAGTAGCCCAACACAGTAGCCCAACACAGCAGCAGCAGCAGTACTTGCTTCTCTTCTCTCGCTATCTCGATTTCGCTCAAGACCGATTCTTTGTCTACCGTTCTCCGAAGAATTGTCATGTCTTGATCTCAACTGGCTGTACCACCGATACAACCCTTTAACTGTCTTTATCCGGCAAGAAGGTATAACACCCGGTGTATGTTACGGACGAGGGTTAGTCTGGATCATACCGGTACACCCGGCATTACGGTACCCCATTTGGTAGTTGCACCGCCCGGGACCCTGATCTGTCGTTTGGAACCGTTGGTCTAGCTAGCCCCCGGTTTCGTGGGCGGCCGAGGTCTTGCTTCGTGGAAGGTCGTATCTGGTCTTATCAAAATGACACCACGCGGATGCAAACACAAGCTTGTTTTTCAGCATAGTTTGAAACTTCCTGGCCCTCAAGAGTACCTCTACCGCTGTACTCTGTTACCGCGATCCATTGTTGAGGTGGCTCTCGTTGTGCTTGTTGCTGTTGTGGCACTCACGATGACGATCGTTCCCGACAACGTGTTTGAGTTGGTGTTACAATAGTTGTTTCATCAACGACCGGCATCACTGATAGATTGATCCTATTTTTTCGCAACGCTGCATTTTCGGTTGCATCCTATCCTTTGTTGTTTGCCACCGCGAATCGCCGGTCGCGTTTTGCCTTTCGTCTGTGAAACGTTCCCTGCTCAACGTTTCCTTTTAGACGGGGCACACACCCGTTGGCGCAGAACCTTTGAACAAATATATTGCGTCCCCAGAACTGACAAAAAATTAAAACTCTCCCCACATCAAAAACTCGCCCTACTGCATGTACATAATTTTAGACTGATTTTGGCAACGCGGGCGTTTCGTTTCTCAGGGAGAGGACAGCCCGTTCATGAAGGGTTTCTATGACAAGGGGCGTGTATCCAGCCTGCTCAAGGCGGTCCCGGTGTACGCGGTGCTCGTGGAGGACATCGGCCTGAGAGGGGCACACTTCGTCGCGTACAGGGTAAGAGTGGGGCGAAGGGAGGGGCGGGCAAGAGAGACACTACCATGTGTGTACAGTAAGAGGAAGGTGGTGCTTGCGGTGGCGTACGTAGCAATTTCTCCTCGAGTTCTGCGTGCGCTACAGCCGGTCAGCGAGCGAGCAAGAGACAAGACAGACAAGACAGAAGAGAGACAGGCAGACAGATCAGCGAGACAGAGCGAGAGAGAGATAAGCGAGACGGAGAGGGAGACACGAAACCGCACTCGTTCGGGTTCGGCACCTAGGGCAGGGAGAAGGGGTGTGGTACACGGAAGACGCGCCGGGGGGGAATACGAGGGAAGGCTACGAGGGAAGAGGGGGTAATATACAACGTCCCAGTTTGGGAGGAATGTCCAATGAAGGAGAGGAGGGGGATTCGAATGGGGGCTCCTGTGTGACTGAGAATCCTCCACCCGTTACCATGAATGTCTTACGGTATAACCGTAGCTAGCGCCACGCTTGGTTAGAGCGTGGCACTACTTTCTTTCGTGAGAACGACAGCGGAAGCGCGTTTTTTTTTGCATACCATCCTGTGGGTGCAATGGACGACACTCTGACATGGGTTTCCGGATGTTTGTGGTGCCTCCGACACCGATTGTGTCCCTAGCGCCAAACGATCCCGATCGAAACGTTCCGCCGCCGTTCCTTGTACCGCGCGCCACGCCAAGAAGTTGGAGCACGCGGCCTCGAATACGACAAATGCTCGGCAGTAGTAGTAGTAGCAGCTGCTGCTGCAGCAGCAGCAGCAGCAGAGGCATGTCGTGAAATCAGATGCGCCCGAAGTTAAATATGCGATCGCCGTCCGTGTGCCCCGGCCCCCACAGCTCTACCGCAGGCAGCACGGCGACGAGTACAAGAAGCACCACCTGAAGAAGGTGGTGGCGTTGTCCGCGACGAGTGTGCTGACCCTGGCGGCCGTGTCGGCAGCGGTTGGCGCCGCCGTCGCGCGGGCCGTGTCCAGGAGCAAGTGAGAGGCAGCGAGACACAGGCCGCGGTGAGACGGCATATCAGTGGCAGCATTGCGCTGCGGCAAAGCTGTGTTTGGCGTGGCGACGTTTTTGAGCGTGTCATCTCGGCGTCACCGGATTGTGTTGCATCTCCCGGAGATACCGGGGGCGCGGTTGTTGGTAACGCCCCCCCCCCCCCGGACGATGTAAAAGCCTGGTCCGTTGAAAACCCGGCGTGCTGTGTCCCGGCTTTGTAGGGATGCGAGGTCAATGGTCTAACGACTACGGCATGCACGACTGTGAGTACACCCCCCCCCCCCG